ATAATAGCTCGTCCCTCAATGTCTGGCGACGGCCAATAGATCAGAAGGGAAGAATATTTATCCAGCAAAACACAAGAATTAGAAGAATTAAAGGTTAAGATGTCTTATGTCTTCTGCTGTAGCCGATGAGACTAATTCTGGCACTGAAAATTGCTCCATATTTTGAAGATTTAAAAGCTCCACTTCTATGAATTTGTGGGGGTACCCAGCTAGCGGGCTTCTCTCTTGGTTTCAGCATTTCTTATTCTTGAAGGCTCTTATGATTTGCTGCCCACTCTGACTGCTGCTTTCTATCTGGGTCTGTCTGGAGCAAGGCTCTTCCATGTTGAAGCATTTTTGTTGAAGTCTTTCAGAGACATTTTCAAGGTATCTTTGTAGTACCTCTGTTTTGGTGCACCAATCTTACGCTTCCTCGAGGGCAGCTCAGGATAGAATACTGGCTTTAGAATTCTGAAATCAGACAATTTTTCAACATGGCCAGCTCAACATTGTTTATTCCTTTAGTCCTTTTTAACTTAGAAAACAGACTCTCGACATTTGCCATTTGGAGAATTCCGGAGTCTGGTATTTTATCCTGCCATTCAGTTCTAAGAATTCTCCCGAGACATTTCATATGAAAATAATTACGTTTCTTGGCATACAGGGTTGGGAGGATCACTGCAAGGTAGACTTTCAACTCTATAGCTGTCGAACGCCACAGCAGTCCCACATCCTTGTTCGGGGTCTTCCAAAGGATGAACTAGATTTATTCATATATAAAGCTATTTCTGGACAGATGCGAGCATTTGAAATTAATGTACTTCTATGACATGCGAATCAAAGTCACCTCTTCTATGTGAAATAGCGAAGTGCCTTACTGCTACTCAACAGGCACTGGTTAAAGAGACAGAGAATGTACGTTGTGAGTTTTATTCCCATGTCCTGACAGTGTAGTGACAGGACACTATCTTCAAATGTGCGTATCGATGCAAACATTATAGCTTTACGTAGCAACCAGGCCCTGAAGAATACATAAATAGCAGGGAGAAAGCAATTCAGACTGACAGACCAACAAAAAGAGAGGAAGAATCAAAAAGGACTTATCAGTGGCACCCTCCTACCACCCATAGACAATCACATTGATAATACTAACTGAGTCTTATTACTTATTATTTAGCTAATACATCTGTAGACCTCCTCTTAATCACTTACATTACGCTTCCTTAGAATAACAACGTTTTATCTGACATTTTTGGCTGTTTTGAGGTACTAGGCAAAACTGTACCATGGGGTAAAAAAATCCAAATAAATGTTCCTTCTGCTCTACCAATAGGTCTATCGATATACATAACTCTGAGTAATAGTTATCAAGGTGCTCAAAGAATTGCACTCGTAAAAGCTTGACATACTGTGAAACTCAAAATGTTTTCGTCAAATATCTCATATCTAGGTTCTGAGTAGATGGAACTTCGTAATTCTGAGGTACATGTAGCGATTAGGCATGGGATCCCAGGATCTGCGCAACATACTGCAGTGACAGGAAAAACAAATCTAGCTATTGCGTTATTGAAATAAAGAATATGAAGTTAATGAAGAGAGCCTGCTGCACACCTCCTATTAATTATTAGAAAAATAAACGGCAAGCTCACAAGCAACTTCCTTGAGTTAGGAACCATACAGTGGTCTAGGGGAAATAACAAAGATAAAAAAATCGTTATTATTAATATTATTAATTAACTGACTTCCGTCCCTTGATTCAACATTTTGTTATTTACTCAACTTGAGCCACGTAGTGTTTGGCTTTGCTGTTTTAGACCGAAGGCCAAGAAATACTTTCAAATCCTCTTTTTACATCCTTCACGTTCTCCTGCAAAAAATGTATCACGGAAAATGTTTAAGCCCAGTGCTAATATATTTCTCTTTGTCAATGGGCACTTTTCTTACCAAAGGATCTCCCATGCATGGTTTTTAGTCATTATTTGGAGTGTATTCATGTATTACTATAAGCTACTCGAACTCACCTGAAGCTCAAGTGGTGTGAAACAACCAAGTTATCCAATGGACATACTTCTCGTATAATGTAAGACTAAGGTACATAACTCTTAATGCTCACACCACTCCGGAAAGGAACCAGGTTACCCAAGGAGGTGTATGTGTAATACATGCTTTTATTACTTTTAATACCCCCCCCCCCCGACCCACATATCTTTAAAGTTTAATAAAATTGTGATTTTAAGGAGAGAAGCAACCTAACCAAGTCGAATTCTTTTTCCTTTTTTTAATTCTTAGGAAAAAAGTCTGTACACAGCAGACGCTGATTCCAATTACCATGTCATCAAAATAAAGCTTCGTGAATGGTAATTTAAAAAGTCCCAAAATGAACAAATCACACATTTATTGATGAAGCTACATTGGCTAGCCAGTTAAAGCTAGAATTGATTACACAATTGAGGGCTCTCGTGGTCTAGAAATACGGTGTTCGCCTCTCAATCAATGTGTCCCGGGTTCGAAACCTGAGAGCGACGAACGATTTTCCTTCTCTAATATTAATTTTCTCGTCCTTTCCGGTTCTCTAGGCCTGTTTCGGCACCTGCTTTCATCTCTAATTTCTCCCCCGTCCCCCTCACCCCCCAAAATAACCCAACAAAACACGGACCTCCTTTTGGCTCCTCTACAATTTATTCTTGACTGTCTACCGTTCTTCTGGTCCCTTATTATAGCAGTCTTTCAATCACGCCCCTAATTTTAGAGTTGGTAAGATCTAACACCTAGCCTCCTCGGTTAAGGGCGAAAAATTTCAGAGGTCCAGTGTGCAAGTTGCGTACGTTAAATATCCCTTGATGGTCTAAAATCGATAAGGGTAGACTTCAGGAAAAATAAGAAGACAAAGAAAAAGACTATTGTACTCAATTGCTCGTTCATGTCCCAAATACAGATAAAGAATACATTAGCAATAAAGTAACTTAGGTTAAAGACCGTACTGAGCCATACTGAGTCATACACATCAAGACATTTCATATTTGCGAGAGAGAATCGTACGAGAGTGAGAATGCCCACGGCAAGGTCAAACAACTTGTGAGGAAAAGTGTTTTTCTTATCAATCATGACACCAAGATTTGGAACTCCCTCCCAAAAGAAACGTGTTTTATGAGAGAGAGAGAGAGAGAGAGAGAGAGAGAGAGAGAGAGAGAGAGAGAGAGAAGACGCAAGACAGTTATTCAATGTTGTCCTCCGCCAGTAGTTTTTTCATGCATACGATAATGTGTATGGGTCTCGAAGCTGAGTGTGTGTGTGTGTGTGAGTGTGTTGTATTAACCCTATCCATACATCGTGTTTTACTATCGTATCCATATGACATGGGGAACTCTGTGCCACCACTTTCCAAACAGGAAATTTACTCGTTAATCCGATCAGTACGCTTTGCATCAGTCTATCAAAACGATTTTTTGAGAAATACTGAAATTTTCAGAGATCTTCACACTAAAAGTAAAAGTATTCTAAAATGTGAAGAATACAACCATGGGGGTACAAAATGACCCCAGGACGTACCGATAGGGATAAGTCGTCTCACAATGTACATTCTGTCTCTCTAATGGTGTCAGTAGTGTAGTGGTTAGGTGCTTCACCATCACACATAGAAATAGAAGAGGTTTGTTGAACCCCATGTCAAAATTTTGTTCTCATCATCTCCATCTGCAGTGACGCTGTATTGAGACTGATAATTCTGCACGGTACAGCACTTGGAGCCTTCCACAGATTGGGTGCTATATGAACTCACATTATACTGTATCTTTATGTACTTTATATGTATTGTCATCAGGCTACTCTTCATATTTGTCAACTACAAATGAGTTGATGTCATCGGAGGAGTGAAAAAAAAATCTCTCTCTCTATATATATATAAAATTATATAGGCATATATTACAATTATACAGCAGAGTCCCACGTGCTCATATGCCCATATGCAGTTGTGAGTGCCATAAGCACTTACCAAAACAAAGATAGATCTAATAAGGAAATTATTATTAAAATTGTATTCTTAAAAATATTGACTTGGGATGTCTGCAAAGCATAAATTTTGTTTTCTTGGTAACAATATTCACTATTCAGCCCATCTGTACTAAAATCTGCACTTCCTGTATTTAAAAAAATGACGGCACACTTGATGCTGTGCTATGTTACTAATTTTATAAATGTACCAAGATAATTGAATTGGTGTAACTTATTTATTCCATGCATATTATCATGCAGTTTACATTAATTTGATGATTTTGTTCGCATTGTAACCTTCAACATCCGCTGAAAAATCTCAGCCCACTGACAAAGAAGGAAAAGACACAATGTAATAGGGTACACATTTTTATTAGCACAATAATTGGTCACATACATGACTTAAACATAAAAACATTGAACACATTAATGTAATCGAACTCACTATACCCACTTTAAATTTAAATCCAAATCCAATCTTTGATATTAACTATGCAAAATCTGTATTTCTCAGCTGCACATCAAAACTGTAAATTGTTTCATATAGCACCATATTAAATTATATAAATGAGTGGCGTCAAACTGACATCAACACATATTAATGTAATTTCATATTGTAGATATCAATCATACAAAAGGATGGACTGGCCAACTGTTGTTTGTTCTTGAAGGGAAGCAATTTAGCAAATCTGTTGTTAGAGTGACACATGATTAAAAACTACAGAGACAACCCGAAGAAAGCAATTGAACTCTAGTTGGCATTCCTATCCTTTTCTTTTTCATTTGTCAACAACCCTATCCTTATAGGCTTCATACGTAAAAGCCCACCTCTACAGAATTAAAAGGGGCACGAGTAGTTGACCTCCCCAAGTAAAGTGTAAAAATTTGAACTGAACTTTATAGACTCTCAATTGTGTCTCTGCTGAAAGTAATTTTGAGACGCATGAACTCGCTGTGACTTCTGACATATAATCAAATTGACATCAAATAAGTCTTTTCAAAAAGAAAGTATGTGTAGTCACTCTTCATGGAACAACCAAATCTTCCAACATGGACAGCCACAAAACATGTTAACAAAAACAATATAAAACATTTTTTTTGTAATTGTAAGGTTGGGAACCTGCACAGGCCAAATATATTAGAAATGTTTGCAGTACTAGGTAGACACTGAAAAACACATTGCTACAGAATATGCACTGAAATCATACTTAAAAGTCAGCGCACAAGCAATGTCAACTTTGAGCATTTTCTGGAGGCCTCATTCAATTTGTCAAAATTCCCTCCCATCTCTTACAAAGATGTATTATGTAAAAATTAAAAAAATAATGCAGTTCGGACTTCAACAATCATCCGACCGTCATTACGACGCATGACATTGATCAATGAAAATGCGGGTTGACTTGAAGCTATGTACACAAAGAGACAGATGATCAGATGCTGCCATTTCCACCATTGCGCATCATTAGGGCCTGCTCCAGCTCCATTCTGCGCGTTTGAACCTAAACACAACAAATTTAAAAAATAGAAAAATCAGTCTCCAATTTGAAATAAAATAAAATAAGTTGTACACATAAAGGAAAGGAAAAGGCATTGAGCTCTATATTTACAATCTACCAACTGTCTGAGATTTTATGTAAATATTGTCAGTACTCTGCACGCCATCTTCTAAAAATGCAGACACCAGTTTCACCTCATTCAGAACTTATCCAAAATTAAACAATAAATATCTTGAACCTGGAACAAGCGAGAATATTAACAACTGTGATGACGTCATCAATTGTCAACTTTAAATGAATATTACTTTCCTCCTCTTTCCCTCTAGGCCTCAAGTGTTTTTGTTTACAGACCTTCATATCATGTAGTGCAAATGAACTTTCTAAGTACAGCCAGTTTCCCTCAACAATGTCATATCCTTCACCTTTCAGGTAGTCAAATGCTGTTTCGAAGGAAATCTAAATCACGGAAACTGACCAAAAGAATTTGCTATAGGAAGCCATCTCTCAGTGCACCTATATTACAAACAGAATACATGGTAAATGTCCATGTGAACATTCTTAGGTTATTTAAGAGGCGAGACCTACGAGTTTAATGCCCATCTCTGAAAGGACCAAGCCAATGGAAAATTCGTGTAAAGTGCCTTCCCCAAGGACACAGTGTAGGACTGAGATGAGGCCCCAAACCCCAAATCTGCAATCTCAAAATTACGAGTCTGGTAGCCTAACGACGCTACAAACTACAAACAAAATCTCAAACACTTTAGCAAGGAGCAACATGCAGATGAGATCTCCAAGGTTTTTTTTTACCACATGATAAGCCCAGGGATTCCAATCCCAGATACCCCGGACCAGGGCAATGAAAAATGCGCGTTGTCACTATGCTGACATCAAACCTAATCAGTGCTTCCACCAGCTGAAGCTGAAAAGTAAGGAAAATTCTGCCGGGGGTCTGGGGCCGCATAGGCCTCCATCAGGGTCCAGGGACAGAGTCCCGGTGGGGGTTCAGAGGGCGAAGCCCCCGAAGAAATTGAAATTTAGTACTTTTAGAGGGTTGAAAATGGCATTTGGGAGCCTGTTTGAAGAGATTGCCAACAACCCATACTACTTATTATTTTACCAAGATTTTGTTTTGTTTGATTTCTTCACACACATCTTTCCATTGCTGGAAATGTTAAAAAGCAGGTTCCCCTTCTATTTCTCTCTAATTCAATTAATTTGTCATCACACCATTGATAGAAAACGAAAGTGCCGACAAAGCTGACGGGAGAAAAAGGGGGCGCTGGCAGTCGGCCAGGCCTCGCACTATGCACATTGACTAATAATACAGGTGGGCCTAGCGATAGCATCAGCCGGCTCGCGGGTCGGGTCGCGATTGTCGGATTTCAGACGATTGTCGGCAAACATGCAGGTCTAATATGTACTTTCACAATACAGTTACCCAGCGTATACCCTAATTTTCCTCAATTTTCGCGTCTGAATGTCGCAGGTCACAACCTCGGAACACTACTTTGAATTTTTCTTAATTTTAGTAGTTTTAGCACAAATTTCTTTCATCGCGGCCCTTATCGCGTTCCCGTGCCGTAGAATCTTCGCACTGATAATCTCTCTAGATCTAGACAATAAATTTGTGAAAGTTTCTTTCTGACAGTAATTTTCTAAGATCACAAGTCAATATACTTGATCAATGCGCAGATTTTCCAGCCGCGGCAATAATCCGAAGATAGACAGAAGGAATGAGTGAATGATGGAAAGGAGGAAAGTGGCCCAAAAAGTTCGCCAGATTTTGATCAATCAGCAGGTAAAAAATGTACTGCCAACCAACCCACAATGAATGCATGGGGCACAGCAGATGGCCGATGGCAGGAAATGCACAATCTGGCAGGTTTCTATACCGTAACAAACTATTGCAGAGAGAATTACCGTAAATATTCGCAACTTATACTATAGAAGACAATACGAAGGCGAGTACGGGTCTTTTGCTACGGAATTTCGGTAGTCCAAAGATGTCGCAGATTTTTACGGAGTGAGTTGATAATGATGGAGGAATAAGTACGGAACTGGCAGAAAGTACGGATCTCCGTAAAAATACGGAAGAGTGGAAGCACTGCTTATATTGAATAAAAAGTATTTTGACATGATGCGTAAGCGCCTCACTCTTAAACAAAAAAGCACCCATGAATACCATACCAGTGAATAGAAATATCTGTTGACTCCTTCATTGGTCCAAGGCTCATAGAAGTACTCAGCTCTTCTCTCTTCCTCAGGGTTGCCCACAACATCTGTCATGGTCTGAAAGTAAAAATATACAATATAATACAATCATCATCTGTTCTGATGGGCGTCCTGCTGTGGCCTGCTCCTTCTACTTCCTTTCAGAATTGCCAGTATCCCAATGTACTACACTACAGGTAAAACGTAGGTGCTACTTGAAAAACTAACTGAAAACTAGTTCAACAACATCCTATACCAAACATTTAAACAACGGACATAGTTGAACCAATTATCAGTGCTCCAAGACAATAAAAGAAGTATATAAGGAAGGAAACCAGAATTTATCTTGGTGAACCAATATCTCATGCTAAATGAGACACCTATCTATACAAGAATCTGCACCCTTTTTGGGTAAACACCCAGAAGAAACTATCAACCATCACCAGCGTGGCTGCCCCACACCAGATGACCTACTGGGTTACCCTCTTCCACACAGACAATACAGAGGCTGGAGCGACTACCATGACATGGCACTGGGACCAAGGGCAGAAGCCTATGTGCTGCTGTCTCAAAAACACCATCAATCTTATGCTATGAACCGTTATCATCGACCTCAGTAGTCCTTCAGACAGTGCACATGCAAGAATATGCTTAACACTTGTTAACAGGTTTCCATAAAATGGTCATCAATGACTCTCTTCTCTTCTGGCCCCATCTTTTTCCAAGGTGGAAACATTGACAGCCCAGAGTAATTTCTATTCTGACCTAGATACAAATCAAAGCCTTAACAATAGTAAGGAGTAAACATTTTTTTAGGCCCAGATGTTTGCATCTGCTTCTTCTGCTTACCACTCATTCCTAGTGTCTCAGCAATATCATTCCACAAATCTGCATTCTTAGGACAACTGGGTTCTTCCACAATCGCTATCATCCATTTCCAAGGCAGAACAAAACAGCAAAACATCTTAAGCCGACATATATCATCTAGAATACGTAATCAAGTAGAAGGGCAAGCTTGACAGCTACTGGATATGTAATATAACAAAACTTAGCAAGAACCAAATTCAGCCAGCACAGAACCAAAGTTTGGAATTCAAACTAGCAGAGACAAAAAAATTTACAGATGAAGAACAAGCTAGACAAAAAAGAACCCAAACAAAATACATGCTCTCGTATGTGTAACAAATAGGGGCCTACTCACTTTCAGATCTCTTGTCTGAGAAATCAGGAAGTTGCTGATGAACTCTTGAGGGTCTTTAGCAAATCCTAAGAAGAACTCTCTTTGAGTTTTCAACATATTGATGTTTTCAACAGTCTCGTGGATCTGGGGGAAAATATACAACGAATAAATTGCCAGAAGAATAAAACAGGAATCATTACCAACTGATTCAAAAGGAATCAGAATGAAAACTCTGAAAATAACATTTATATGATTTCCCAGTCAAGTGGTTAACAAATACACCAATTATGTCTTCATTATCTGAAATAAACAAATGAGGTGCCTCCCATTTACTGGAAAAAAGAACCTGTTTATTTCCCCCCCTTTATAATCTAGAGATCTATCGGATACGATAAATGAAATCATAACAATGACCATTTTCTATTAAAAACATAAGTTGAACTTTTATCTCTATTTAAGAGGCAAATTTTCTTCCCGCAACAATGTTGCATAACCATAAGACACATCTTTTTTTTCATTCCCCCTAAAACTCATGCACTTGTTAACTTTCCCTTAATTATCAGTCAAAGACATTATACAGCAAACAAATCATAGAGACAAATTCAGTAGGATCCTTCATGAAAAACATCTTACTTTCGCATCCAAATTAGCAATCTCGGTGTGGTTTTGGGTGGACATCACAAAAGAACTCATTTGCTGTTTCAAGGGATCATCCTGTACAGAGATCAAAGAGAAGTTCAATAAGAATTATGGTTATTGAGACATACTGAACGCATAAACTTTTAAAGCAAGTCTTTATTATCTGTTAATTAATCATCTGTTGAGATTTATGGGTGACTTTGAAAATGCTTCATAAATGAAACTTTTTGTTTGAACAAAGTTTGGTTATTTTTCTCAATCAAATAACAAGAAGAAAAAAGAAAATCTAAAGGTGTCAGAATGTAGAAGGTAAAATAATGCACATGACACCTGCAATAACACAGACTTTTTTTTAGCTAAGGCAAATAGAAATAAACCATATTTATAAACAGAAGCAATACTACTCACAATGTCAACATCAATGTCATAGCAGGCTGTTTTCTTTGCATCAGGACCTTCCACCCTGAAAAGCAGTACCAAAAATAAATATTCAAAACGTGTGTGCACATTACATGAAAAGCATGAAACTGTTCATCCCTACTGCATATCATACCTATGTCTTTCTTATTTTCTTAAGTTTTTCACAAGAACATGTATCACATAACATTTATACTTATACTGTGTGACTGGAAACATACTGAGATGCTTGTTCAACTAGCAGAAATATGAATTTTCTTTAGCTATTAATGAACTTTTCATGCTTCAAACTCAGTGAGCAAGGTTGTGTTGAAACAAGAGCAATTGTTTCATTCTTTCAGTATTCAAGCTCAACTTTTGTTGACAACAATGGCAGGAACCAAGAGACTTCACCCTAGACTTACGTGACAACATGGTGAATGATGATGGGATCTGGTGACATCAGAAGCGGCTGCAGTTTAGAGGGAATCTCTGAGAACTTCATGCGCTTGCATTCAAAGATCTGAAGTTACAAAAGTTCGATATCCAGGTCAAAGTCAAACCATATAGGTGCAAGGAAATATAAATAGCCTGTGTGAAACATGATTGTGATCTTAAGATAAACAAAGTATGTCATATTCCCAAAGCAATGCAACAATATATTATATTTACAGCTGCCCAGTGTAAATATTGAACTAATATTAACTGACCAGTCAAAGAAAACGAAATATGAAATGTGAAGCGAGCTGACAAAGTGAGTTACTTCTCGGATTTAAACCTTAAGTGGAAAGCGAGAAGCAACTCATTTTGTCAGCACGCCTCACAAATCATTCCTACAAACTTGACAGCAGCAGAACAACATGAAATAACTAGAAACCTGACAAAAATCTCTAATAAACTATATCATGGACGCAGGTCTCTATTCATGTCCACATTAACACGGAAGTCAAATTAAAAAGTTAAAAAACCAATTAAAAGGGGAAAAAAAGGTATGGGGGCAGTACAGGTAAACACATGCCTCTCAGAGCTGGTTCACCACTATCTTTATACCTGCTCAAAGTACTTGTCACAGTTGATGAATTCCCTCTCATGACAGTCCTGCAGCTTGTGTGTCTTGATGTACTGCCACAGGGCACTGATGATGAAGGGCCGTGTCTGAGTGTGGATACCCAACAGTCGAGCCAAGCGATGGTCTAACTTGAACTGTAATGGCTGTAACAGAAAGAGTAAATACGATTTTATCTTTTAAATTTTTAGTAGAGGTTTTACGGCACTCGTACCTGCATAAGGTCATATGAGCGCCAAGGGGTGGATGTCAACAGAGAAGTCCTTACAGGGACTCAGACTTACTCTGTTCACCTCTCTAGCTTCAACAGCACAAAGTCTGCTTCGACTATCAAGGCACCCCGGAAATAGTGGGTCACAAGAGTGTGACAAACATACAAAAGAAGTAGAGGCAAAATGACAACAGTAAGGATTAGGAAAGAAAAAGCAGCAGTTCCCTTTTATAGATCAGGCACAGTTATGAGCGTGACATTGATGAATCAACCCATTTACAATTCAACTGTGCATGAACGAGAAATGTCCCCCCCTTCGGGAATGGCCTAAAGACACAACAGTCAGTGGCACCGCCACGGGGGGTAAAAATGATTTATGGTGACCGCAAGACAAGTATCATCACCCATGGGGTGAGATAACTCTTGTAATCATCTTGAACAAGTTGCAATAGGGAAAGCTTTCTCCTGTCATGAGCTTTCATTAAAACCAAAAAATACAATCATAACAGCTTTTGAAAAGCTTAGTAAATGACCTCAATGCAGACCCTGTCCATAGCGGCCAAGAGAGTCTATAACAGTCACTTTTCTCTGTGATCTTGAATAAACTTTGTTGACAGGCCTGACTGTATCTAAGAGGTGGGACAATTCTGTCATGAGACATATTTTATGATTAAAGGTTAATGCAACATATGCTGGGTTCCAAGAAAATAAAAGACTATCATAAGAAACACAAAAGGATGTGACAAAAACCAAGCACTACCCCAAAACCTTACAGAAGAAATAGACTTGTCAATGCAAGAACTCAATCTCACATTGAACGACAAAACAGAAATTCAAAAGGTAATATTTTTTAATCTGACAAATCCTAAGAAACAATGGGAACAGAAACACCCCTGCACAAAATCTATTCCAATGCATTTGGCAGAGTTGAAAAAACCTGTTACAAAATCATTTGAATAAAACTTTCTTATGATTTTATAAATTCATTCACATCACAGTTGAAGGTAAAAAGTTGAAATTGCAAATTTAAAACAAAACCTCAAACGCAAAAGATCAAACACAAAAATAATTCATTGTGAATGAACCTGCCACAATATTTTCAAAGTAAATGCAAAGAATTGGAGGAAGACATTCCCACAGAACCATGTTTGTATATGTTGAAGAAAATGAGCCCACTACAACACAGAGAAAGAGATTTAAGGCCAAGAGCATAGAAAGTAAAATTTGCGAAACTAGAAACTATTCATGCATTCATTTTTTTTAAAAAGTCTGTCCAAGACATTATAACAAGATACATGCTGAGCTCAACAGCACAAATCTCTTACCTGATAATCCAACATCAGCAAGACCTTACACTTCACGTTTTGGTCTCCTGGTCGTTTCACCTGAAACCCATCTGTTTCCTGAGTGCTGTGGGTACGATGCCACTGGAAAATAAACAAGCAATATATTTAAAAATACAGCCCTTCTTTTTACATAACCCCATCCCAAAAAACAAAACAAAACGAAAACAAACACTCAACTGATGAGATTTCAACCTTGTTGTACCTCTACAACACCATTCATAAATATAAGTAAAAGAAACAAATTCTTATACAATGCTGAATTTCTTTCGCTAGAAAATTTACAAGTTGATTGGTTTACATATATGCTCAGAATAATCAATCTGAAACAAAACTTCTTTAACCCCCCCCCACCCCAAAAAGAATGCAAATTTTAGATAAAAATGATTGACTTCAGTGCGCATGTGCATCATATCTGAGCCAGACATCTTGTACTAGAGTCATTATTTAAAGAAAAATTACCTGTCACTATGATGTAAGACAACTCATAAGGTAAATGAAACATTCCCGAACAAATCACACCGCTAGATCTAATCTACCCACGATCACTAAAACTGAATGGCTGTGCACTAAAAAACAAGAAAACAGTATACCTCAACGAGATGATTGTCCAGACCGTAGAGGTCTTTGTCAAGCTCAATCACCAAAGACTTGAAGAATGATGAGAACTTGCGCTTTATTTTGTTGCTATCACTCAGCTTGGCAGAAGCAGCCTGCAATAACAACAAGAAACAATGTGACTATTTCAGAGGTAAAAATTCAAACTTAGCAGCCGCAAAGGTGACAACAAACTCTAAAATCACAATCTTGAAATTCAAAGAAATTTGTTCCCCTTTAAAGAATAAAAGTTCCAAAAAGAAAAAAACAGTTCTGGTACGAATTCAGTGCATCATAGGAGTACAAGACACCGGCAACTCAAGGCAAACCACTTGGTCAAAATAATTATAAACAAAAACATGACATAAATGTGTTTTTTACAGCCCCATTAACACAAGCACTTCGTCAAGAGAGACAAGAAAAGGAAAAGTAAGACAGAAATAAAGCAGAGATAATAATTAATGATAATTTATTTGTACAGCGCATATCCCCACCCAACAGCAAGCTCCATACGCTTTTACAATACTTCTACACTAGATGAAACAGAATAGCAAATATGACATATCTACATCTGAGTAGTCATTCACATGTGCTATTTCTTGACTTCAGATCTATCACTTTAATTGGGGGGAAATTTGTTACCGCGACCAACATCACTGGGAGGGAGGTTGGAAAAGGGGAGAGGACGGAGAGTTCTTGAATAAGTCCAAATCAAAATAAGGGGATAAAGAAATAAATCAAGCAAACCATTTTCACCTGCGTCAAGGTGCCCTACTTTCAATTTGGATTTCAGTCATCCTTAAGTAAGATTGCAGAAAGGTAACTATGAAATAAGAAATAGCTGCAATTTTCAAGGACAATTGAAAATCTTTATTCCAATCAAATGTTGATAACAAGACTGTAGCACATGACAACAACATTTTCCTTCTTTTCACTCACATCTTCCAGCAGTCGACCTTCTACACGCAATTCCCAAGATGGAACAGATTCCTCACCCTCCTGTAAAACATGAAATGGAAAGGAATGATCAAACACAGGCAAGCATATTTGCAAACTATCAACGCAAAGACTTTTAAAGATCAAAATAATAATGGAAGCAACACACTGCAAGCATTGAAACTGCTACACGTTTTACTTTTCAAAACAAAAAGACCACCCCCTCCCTTCTCCCTAAAAAAACCCCCAATACAAAACAAATCAAAACACCTGTGTTAAACAAACACACACACACACAAAAATAATTTACGTTATGGTAACAGACAAAGACCAGTTATGCATCTAATACATTAGCTATATACAAGAGAGTAATACATAAAACCAAATCCAGTATAATTGAAGTGGTAGAACCTCAACATTGCATCCATTTCATGAACAAACATTACAATAAACAAATGAGCAAAAGTACAAAATGACAAAGCCTCACCTCAACCTCCCTTGGAGGAAAGAAAGTGTTTGAGATGAAAATCCTCAGCTTGCGTTTTTGCTGTAAAATAAGAAAAATAAAATAAAATCACCATCAACTGCAAATTATGCACATTGGTCACATCGACACGATTCACAGGATTGAATCAGGTCGCATTGATTAATTAATGGCAGCTTCAGTACATACTAAATCAAGTAAACCCCTGCCTGGCTTCATCTAACTTGACTCTGAAGTTGAAATGAAAGAAACCTTTGACCCCTGGTAACCAAATCAAGACCGTTCATTATAGTTTTCTTTATGCAAACAAATAAATCTGACCTCGTTAGGCTATGTGACTTGTAAGCTTCTAGCTATACGACTGCCTGCTTTCATCCAACTTATCAGACATATTCGATGAATTGATAAAACAAACATGTCTGATTTTGGAGAATTTTAACAAACTGTGCCAAAATGGTAACTTTAGTCACTCCATGAAGGAAAATTGGCTGGCTCAAGCTTTATCAAATGAATCAAAATGGGCAATATGTTCTGGGTATAGGGCTCACCAGTCACCCAAGGCACGAAATATAAAAAGAAAAATTATAAGTCATTTACATGCAGTCAAAACAGGAAACTATATAAAGTTATGAAAAGCTGACATCAACATTTCACACCGCAAAATAATTACTTTTATATTTATACTGGGACACAAACATTCCAGAGACATCATCAAACTTATATTGCACATGCTCAATATATTTTTTTTTAAATTCAATAAACGGACAAAAGAACCAGTTTGACTAGAAGAAATTCCAACAGAGCAGGAGACACAAACTTCTCAACTCTTACTTACTTTCATAGGCCGCTTCAACACTTCCTGGATATCCAGTCTCTTCCTCATGATGGTAGCATCTAATTTCCTTTCAAAAGCAAGCAAATCCATGTAGGCCTGAGACTCCGGAACAAGATCTCTCACCTTGTGGGGAGGAAAATGTGAACAAATGACATTGGAATCATGAAAATATAAATACAAGCAATCAATTCAACATATGTGTAGCATCATGGTGAAACCAGACACTCATTAAAATAATGAAATCAAAGAAAACAACATTTTCCCACTCCTTGGGCAATATTGATCAGAATTTTAAATTTGGACGCATAACTTTTAAGTCCATTTAAAAACACACTCCTGCCTTGACGTTTTTGAAAAGCAATGATCAAAGTAACAAAAAAACCCCCCTCCAAATCAAATATAAACAGAAAACTTTGTTTCAGAAGATACAATAAATGATGTTAACAGACAATTTTAACTCTGTAACCCTGAGTGGATGACGGGAGCCTCCAGTGAAACTTGCCTGGTCCCCGAGTGGACAGTCCCAGCATTCGGTCTGATAGATGGGCGCATGAAGCATAACAGCTAATGCACTTTTTTACTAATCCGAATAGATTTATTTTGACTCAGAAATGTTTGATAAATGTATAAACTACTTCCTCTTTCACACAATTTTAGCAGCTTTATGAATGTTTTGCGTGTAACCACATAAAACATGTTTCACGAGATCTGGAAATTTATTTTGTCACAATGTGGAAAATAATTCTGTGTTAAAGACTAAAGCAGTACTTGATAACTATTCCAATGCCTTCCTCCATGATTTCGAGCTTAATCAATGATATGGTATACTCTCCTAGACCACACTGAACAATAGATGCTAATTTAGAAAATGGAAATTTCCTTGGACTACGATAAGAACCGTAACTCCATATCAATTAATTTACTGTATAAACCTGGAAAGGCATAGCACAAAAACAATACACCCTTTCATAAAACTAGAAACCACATACCCTCTGTGGAAGAATTTTGTCTGCAATTTTCTTCTTTCTCTTTCTGTGGATAAAAGAAAAAGAATGTAGATGTAGAAATATAAACAATAAAAAAACACAAAAAGCAATAATATAAAGTTTTAAGGCCATAGGATAAAAGTGCATGGATGATTTCATACAAGTAGATTCTGCAAGAAGACAAAAATCATAAGCAGCCCCCCAACCCCCCCCCCCCAAAAAAAAAACCCAACAAAAACAACAACAAACAAACAACACGATATTTCAAATGGAAAGAAAATAGAGGAGGGGAAGCGGAGAAATTCAGTCAGAACACCTCATACCATTTAGGTTCTGCAATTTTCCTCTTATCTTATTGTTGAGCTATTAGAAAACAGCGAAACTGATTTGCATTCTGGAAAGATTTATTTTTGTCAACAAGATAGATGACAAGGAAACTTAATTTAAAAAAAACGAAACAGACCAGTACAAAATAGTAAGCCAGCCTATCCAGCAGTACATTGTACTTACGACTTGATGGCCTGTGAGGGTCGGAGGTCTTGTGTGGCAGACCTCTTCCGGTCAATCCCAATTCCAGGTGGAGGAGGCGGCATACCAGACCGAGGCATACCTAGGAGATTAAAAAACCAATACCAAAAGTCATGAAACAGAAAAGAAAAAATAACCCAATAAAAACCCCACTCACTTCAACCCTCCACCCCAAACCAGCATAAACAGTAGACTGTATACATTTGGGGGGGGGGGGGGAAGAAATACTCTATTAGAGACAAAACAAGTGACCATTATTTCTCAACAGAGCACAAAAATGAGAAATCACAGCTGTTGATCAATACTTTGATGAAAAAAAAACTCTTAGAGAAAAAAATTCAAAATTGCTCGGGGAGACTCGTCAATATTCTGGGGTCCACTTTAATGGCTGGAAATAGGACAACATCTGTTTTCCTGTGCAGCCCTTTGATAGCTGAGCAATACAGTGCAAAGAAGGCAGTTGAAAATGGATATCACACACCACTCAAAAGCTTAACTGCTCAATAAAGAAAAACAAAGTGAAAAAACAATGTGAGACAATAGAACAAACATTGAAAATAAGAATCTATAAATCTTAGTAAACATATATTATGCTGTAAATTATATTCAAACCTTTATTAGTAAATTCTGCCATTAAATAACATATCATGCATTTATGAGGCTGGCACACTGTGATGAGGTATACCAAATGATAGACATTTAGACCCCAACAAAGACAATTATTCAATTGTAGAGAATGTCTAATAAATCGTGTCAAATTGTACTTTGTAGTCCCTAGTCAAGTCCCAGTACCCAGTCATTAGAAGTAAAAGTAAAGAAAAAAAACCTTGTGAAGTAGCACCTAATCAACATTCCTTAACAAATAAAGAAACCCTGTCGCTGATACTTTTGTCTACAGGTCATAATGTAAAACAGCCAGAAAAAGATAATTACAAACAAGTCTTCCATCAATCTCAAGCGGTTATATTTTCTATGGCACCAAACCCCCTTATTTTTTACACAGAAACTGCATATTGTGTACAGTATTTTTTCCAGAGCATCAAATTTAGTTTGAGTTTCCAAAAATGAGTTTTTACAGCATAAAAACTGTGAAATCCCTTTAATTTGATAATTTCTTTCAATCGTAAGTGCCCATGAGAGGAAATATAAAAAAGAAGATTCAATAATGACTCCTTTCTTACAGATCACATAGACTTATTCATTCAAAGAAGACAACAGATCTGTTTACGAGAGAGTGCTTTTTTTAACATGGCCGGAAGTAGCTGTGTTAAATTTCTTTACAGTGAAGGCTCATTTCTTGCAAGACAATTATATCAACATGACTTCCTTTTTTCCCAAAATAAAAAACGAAACTAAACTTGCAAAAAGAAATCAATTACATGAATATACACCAACAAGCACCTCATCTTATCTTTAGTAAGAACAATAACACACGAATTTGTGAGGGGGAAAACCAGTTCTTTTGTATGTATTTTTATTATACAAACTAAAGAGTATGATATGACACATTTAACATCAACATCCTCTATGCAAATTTAAAGAACCAGAACAGTAGTAAAGAAAGACTCAAAAGCTGGAGAACGGGTGAACAAATAAAAACATTTTGAAAATAAATAAAGGAAACCATATAATGAAGAACGGGAAGTTTAAAACGGGGATCACTTGGCTGAAATAGGAATTCTGTAACTTGTCATCCATTATGGCAATGGGTACAGCAGGCGCACACGGTCTCTAAAACAGTAATCATGCCTCTCGGTATGAGCAACTGAAAAGAAGCCATGCCAGACAAAAGGAGGATTTCTTTCTTTATGAACAGTACAAATTCTCAAAAAGGTTTGGCACGGGCAAAGAAATGGTATTTCATTAATAAATGAAACTAACTGCCAAAGCATGCTTTGCAATGATACCTTTGACAGAAAATTTGAAACAAAACATACACAACTGTAGTTTACACATGTAGCTACTGTGTTTTGATCTGATGAACCAGAAATCAAAAGCAGTTTGTTTATAGGGAGAGGAATACTCCAACAACTGGGAAACAGGAACAAAATTAACATTCTTTAAAGAACAAAGGCAAAACAAAAATGTGGACGAACTCAAACCTAAAAGTAAAAGCAGATAAAAATATCTGATGCTACTCAGAAATCAGTTAAAAAGAAACACACGAAAACTGTGCAACGACTTCAAACAGTACTTTTTACGATGATTATTCTTCCAACACTTTTCCCTGAAAGGAAACAATGGGATCAGGTATTGTGTCAGTCCTCTGCAGTAGACTGAAATCATTAATGGTGATGCTCAATGATAAATTTTCCCCTCTGAATACATCTGAGCATTCAACTACAAGAAAAGAGGACTTCACTGGAGTTCCCCAAAAACTAATCAAATGTGTCGAGATAGATCTAAATAGCTCCTTTGCCAAGCTCCCTCTTTGTCCTTCTCTGATAAGATTAAGCTGATATAGTATGTCTAGAACTGTATAAACATGAGATCAAACTGAAAATCAATGCTATGAAGAAAAGGATGAGAATGAAAATACTTGCACAGACCAATTAATTCATATTGGAAGAAAACATCGCAAACTGAATTATTGGCATTCAGAGAGTTATTTTATTCCTATCTCCAGCCCGACCTCTTCCAACATTATGACTGAGCCTTCATGCTTCATTGACAAAAATGTAATCTGTGAACATATTTTCAAGATTGTGATAGGACGCAAAGGAGAAAATCCACTCCTCAGTCTTCAGGCTATCAAATTCAATATCAAAAGACGGCAAGGATTACACAGAACAATTGCTATTATTCTTTTCTTTTTAACATATCTGCCTGTAGTATACACATCAACTGTTAGAAACCCATCCTAAGATGCAAAAATGGCCTCAGAATAAAATATTTATGATACTTTTAATGAGGCATAATAACTGAAATTAGAAAGAATGGGTATCTTGAAACAGGTGGGGGAAACATTACCTCCAAACGAAAATGTAACATTTTGCAAAAACCCGCCAACATAATCTAGTAGAAATCAACCCTCACTCAAAGAGGGGACACCCCCCCCCCCCCAAAGAAAACGTACACAGATGCACAGGCCCACATCACTGACAGAATTCTACTAAAAAAAGTGGTCTTAAAAACGATTGACTGCAAAAGGACCACAAATTCATATTCGCTAGACAGTTAAGGTTAAGAAACGTCAAATTTAGGTCAACGTAGCATGCCTTCTTATATTTTTAAATGTGTTGTTACCCCATGCCTGCAAGCTCAAAATGCTCAGTTTCAAAACAACAAACTCATAATCCAGTGAATGTTAGTTGCTGAGGCTGAGAAATACTTGTAAGAAGATGACATCCTTTCCTGGGCAGCAGGCAAACAAGAAATTTTCTGTCATGAACCTTTTTCTGTTGTGCTTTTATTTTTGAGGGTCTAGAATACCACGTTAATGATACATTTGGAGATGCCTTTCCGGAACCAAATGAATAATATCAGGTGTTACAAACACTTCGAAGCATGACTATTGGGCACTTGAAATTTGATGATGAGTCAAACAACTTACCCATACAACGTAATGAATTATTTCAATACTAATGAATTCAAGTCACATTGATTTATGACCAATAACACATGCTGAAGTCCTAAACATGTCAAAATGAACAGATGAAACAAATGAGGAAAAGTAAATTTCTAGTGATGTCTGAATCTCATTTCGTGTCAGACACATGCTTAAGGTCATTACTCAACCAAGGGTGAAAGAATCACGTTAGTTGGCATGGTTATTTATTTCCATTTGATCCAAGGACAGCTGAAACTATAGCAGGGGAGTCATGAGTGGGATGAACAAAGCATGCTGATTGGAGAAGAAACTTACTAGATGTTTCTTTGGACTTAGTGGTCGTGTTGCCTGGAATATCAGATCAGGTTGAATAAAGAAAAGGCAATGAGATAGACATTCAATCCACAAGGCTTCAAAATTTAAGTTTAATTACACCACTGAAACAAGTTTGCTGTCACATATCAATACTTACATTTGCATCAAACTTACAAAAAAATTGATAAACACCAGTTTAAATTTACCCCCCCCCCAAACTTAAAACAGTAAGTAAAGTTCAGAGCAGGAAGGAAAAGAAATAAATTATTCATAATCACAGAGCCCCCCCCCACAAAAAAGAAAAGAAAGAAAACAAAACATAAAACATGGGAAACAACTTTGAACATTCCTAGAAATTGTTCGAGCCACTAAAACATTATTAAAAAAACGGTCCTCTGAAAATCAGAGGCACAAAAAAATGTTCACAACATTGTGGCATGGCTTGTATCTTGATTTCCAAACCATTGAAATTCCAAATTTACAAAAAAATGTCCAAGACAATATGATATAACAATATTTTCATAAAGTGCATTGTACATTGAGATTTAAAAAAACAAAATTTTAAAAACTCTCCCAAAAACAAAGCATCTACATTTATCATAAACCTATGTATTACTTCATTCATAACTTAAACTGAATTTTCTTCTTATTCGAATGGGTTGTAGGTCATGACCCAATGGACAAAAATGCTGGTCATGCAAATAAAGTTGTAGACACACACATATAAGCAGCTAAAAGCATATCGCCTCACACCTTGGCAATGTTGTATGTCACCACATAAGAATGCAGTCTATCTCAAAACATTTCCTATAAGGAACACTAGACAGGGAAAATACAAATAAAATACATCTTGAATAAATTATAGTTTGAGAGTACCCTCAGAGCATTTCACTAGGCCAAAGAAAAACGTGTGTGTGTGTTTTTTCAATTCTCTAAGCATTCTTAAGTTGATAAAAATGATTATGCTTTCAAAACAGTTTAAAAACATTAAGGACATGGGTCAACGTTATTGCATGCTGGCAAACCCATTCACATTTGCAATAGCAACAAGTTAGCAAAACATAACAGCTTTCTGCAAAAACAAAAGAGAATTCAATGACAGCAGCACAGAGCTACTGGGGCTGGGAGAAAAAAGAAATACTGCACACCTGAGCAGGGGAATGAAATCATATTAACACACATGTGGTAGAACTGTGTCAGAAAAAAATGACATTGGAGTAGGTAAAACACAGAACAGGATCTGAAAAGGCAAAACACACCTGACTTGGGACGTACATTTAGCCAACAATAAAGCTGAACAGTCTCAAAAGATCGCTTTTGAGAGCAGCAAAAAGGAGCAACGCAGAAACAAATACAAGAGGCAAGAAGGAATAGCTAATAAGTAAAGCCCGTTAACTATCACTGGCCAATCTGCACAAAGCAAATACATAGGGCCTCACTTTGGCAGCAGTTTCAAATAGAAAAAAAAAAACCCAACAACCCAAAGAGTTGGCTGAAAGAACAATAGCTGTGACAGAGTAAGATGGAAGGCTCTCCATGAAAAGGACATACATTTAGCAATTATGCAACACGTAGATGCTACACCATATATGGAACTTTTCTGCTTGGATTTACTACCATAAAAAAATCAGAAGCAGCTCAGACATGTCTCCAGTCCCTTCCTTTTTTCCAGTATTCTTTCATTGCAATTCCGCTGACCTTGTCCATGTTAATACACTGCCATTGACAAATATTAACATCTTTCTCGGGGCGATCTTTGTAGAGCTTCGGAGTTTGAGCAACCATGGCTGTGAGGCGGGACACCTCATTCCAAAACAAAACAAAACTTCGTAAGGAAGACAAAAAATCGCTGACACACAGCACAGGAACTGGGTTCACATCCCTTGCACTAAGGGTAAAGGGGCTTAACAACACCATAGACACAGGGCGAAACAAGACACACAATCCCGACCTAGTAAGCGGACCCCTGACCGTGCAGGCCAGTGGGTTCCCAATTTAAGGAAAAAGCAAAACATCACTTTCATGATACAAAAATGTTCTCTGTTGAGATCTAGAACAAACATTCCCCGACCCCTCATGCAAATCCTACTCAGGCCAAACACCAATGCTGTCAGTGCATGATCCACTGCACCATGGACTAAACTATCAAAATGCAACAAAATATGAAGGGGGTACAAACCACACTGACTAGTCTTGACTTTGCACCGGTCACTATCAACACAATTAGGGAGGTAAGTGTGGACGCAAGGTTATGGCAACGGTAACATCGATTATGGAATGCAGTTGTTTAAAAAAAATATACGGCCGGAATACAGGGCCTGGGCCAAGCACAGTTACTCCTTTCATAACATGTCCAGAAAGAAAGCTTGAACATTAACGACAGAAGAACACGGGTAAGGTTAGTAGTTTTGGTAATTCCATGCAACTATCATACCACCAACGCCACTTTCCATTAACCAAACACCAAGCGAATTAGTTACCCAGAAAGGACAAGTACAGGAGTGAATTTTTCGTAGAGCTGAATGAAAAAGTAAACGCTAACCCCACTCTGGTAAGACTGCCACTTTTTATTGGGGCACATTTACCGCCCACCTCATCGCCTCAATAGGCGTCCTTTAAAGGGAGTACATGTAGTATGTGAGCTTAAAGAAAGCGGCACAAAAGAATGCAAGTCTATGCTCATAACGTCGTACCGCACCACACCCGGCAGTCATTCAGGAACAGTGAGAAAAAGGAGACTAATCATAATAGTCCGTCTAAAGCAATCGGTAAAAGGAGTATTTAAGGTAGAATAGGAAGAAATGAGAGAGAGAGAGAGAGACCCCCCCCCCCCCCACACACACAGACAGAGAGAGAGAGAGAGAGAGAGAGAGAGAGAGAGAGAGAGAGAGAGAGAGAGAGAGAGAGAGAGAGAGGGAGAGAGAGAGGGAGAGAGAGAGAGAGAGAGAGAGAGAGAGAGAGAGAGAGAGAGAGAGAGAGAGAGAGAGAGAGAGAGAGAGAAGGTCCGGTTCACAAACAGCAATCCAACTTGGCGCAGAATATCCTAGATTACTCTTTATAAAATCGTTATCAGAATGAAACGATCCTTAAATGATAGACTGTGCTAAAAAGTGAAAATGCGAATGAATAAGTGTTTGTTTCCTTCTCATCTAACTTGGTAAAACAGACGACTAAAACACAGTACAGGCTCCCCTTCCAATACTCCGAGATCAGATTTTCAAAGACGCTCATGTATGATCCGAATCCTACACACAAATTGCGCACACATTAAACGCACTTAATTTGCTCTCCAGGATGCATTCTTTTGATGTTTCGCAAGCAGTAAATACCACAGTAATTATATCGCAGAGACACTCGGAGCTGTATATATATACGATATTAGACTCAATCACAGATTCAATAAATTTCACAGAGAAGCTTTTTCCAAAATATCTTTTTTTTAAAACCCTAAAAAAAACCCACAAAAACACCCCAAAAGAAAACAACGTGCACAATGGGATAAGAAACAACGCAAAATCAAGCGATTCTTAGCACGTGTGTTCACTACAATCAGCAGAGGCATGTACCACACCAGAAAGGGAGCTTTGGCGATATTTTTTTGTAACGCAGCCGTCAATTTTGTTTCACCAATTATTATTCAAAACTTACTACTATCCCCTTTCTGAGGATCGGTCGTTGTTGTAAGTCTCGTTCAATACACAATGGTTAAAAAGAAAGAGCCTTTCAAAGCCATCTCCTTAAAAAAAAAAAAAAGAAAAAAGAAAAAGAAAGAGAGACAGGGCGGAAAACTTCATGAACACTCTACAAACACAGGTTCAGAAACCAAATCAAATTTGGATCACCCGTGGAAATGAATCACCAATGCGCACTTATTCCCCCCGACAAAACACGTTTATAAAAATATAATAATGAATGAAAATAAAAAAAGATTAAATTTTACAAAGAAAACCCCAGATTAAAATAAATAAATAAATAAACGACCATTGTTTAGCTAACGAAATCCATTCAGCCCTCCGTTCCAACAACACTGCCCATGGAGCCTGATCACATGGCAAACTGCAACAATGACAAACTAAGACCAGGCTCATGCAGCTATCTATGTACAATGAATGTCTATGACCAAGCAGCAGCAGGAGCATGCGACACAAAAGGGGGTTGGGGATCCTCTGTCATAATACTCACAGCTGGCGTCTTTGGTCTTCACGGGAGTACCTGAGTAATAAGGCGGACAGTCACGGGCGGAATATTTCACACACTTGTGAGACATTCAGAGACACAACAAGGTGTATTGTAAAATATAACCCTTCTCTCCTCCCGTCAAGGGGTATGTTGAAACATAGCCCAAAGACAACAGTCTCACGATCAACCCCCCCCCCCCCCCCTCTCTCTCTCTGACACACACACACACACACACACACAGTCTCTCTCAGACGCACACATGCGCACAAACACACACATGCACACAAGCGCACACTCACGCGCATACACATACACACACACAAAATCTCTCTCAAACACACAAACACTGATTGGCCTGTATTGAATGCAAGTGCTCCCCCCTCCCCTTACGACTCTTATACATCAACAACTGTCATTCATACATGCACGAAGTACCACACACCGACGCTCAAGAACAAATATATACAAATTCAACATACACTATCAATGTCGTACTGCTCAACACAATAATGTCAATATTATCAGCCAGTATCAAATCACGGTTACATAGCGCATGCGTAGGTGTCACCTGACCATAACCTTAAAGTGACCTCAAACTCAAAGGTGGACAAAAATGGAATACGTTTATAACATACTCAGCTTCATAAAATAGTTCTGTTGGAGACTGTTTTCTGTTTGTTTTTAAAATTAGGCAAATGAAATACTTTTCTAAACATCAAGGAGGGACGAAACAGATGTCACAACATAACCTTTATGGAAGCTACCTGAAGTACGAGGCGACATAATATATTATGTGAAATCTGACACAGATCACACACATCCAAATTTTAAAAAAAAAATGATATACGGGACCCTGTTCTCTTCTTTTTTTTTCAGGGGTCCCACAAAAGATGCAACAACCACAGCTAAATGACAGCTACTGACCATGCAAAACAGGGGAACAATAATGAACCTGTAGAACAAATCGTGAAGTCAGCCACGACTATACAAATACGGCACTGACATCTCAGTCTGGACACAGACATCCCCCTTTCCACCCCACTCATTATAAACTCAGTGTCTTCCTCCTGTTACCAACATTTACGTCCTGGAAGCATTTTCAGTAAGTCATTCAATTACATCTCTGAACTAACAAATACCATAACACGAAGATAGAAATAAATGATGACGACAAGTGGTTCCCAAGTACATTTGCAAACTTTAAGCAGCCCCCCACCCCACCTTAAAATAACGTTAAAATGTATTTTGGGCATGACGTCACAGCGACCCACATAACGTCACAGCGACCCACATTTCTAAAGAGACGTCACAGCGACCCACATTTCTCACATGACGTCACAACGACCCACATGTCTTACATGACGTCACAGCGACCCACATTTCTCACGTGACGTCACAGCGACCCACATGTTTCACATGACGTCACAGCGACCCACATGTCTCACAGAGAGTAGAATTCCAGGATGAGCGCCAGGGTGCAGGGCCCACGTCGGCCTAGACTTTTACCAGAAATAGGTAGAAAAGTAAACCCCCATTGATAATCCCTACACAAGCACACACCCAAATACCCTGTCTTCCCAAAAGAGAACGTCTCCATGATCATGCTGATTGCTACATTACGCAACAGGTATATTTTGATTTATGGCTTGGGTTAAGCTGATGTATGCATAGAGCAAACAGGCCAATTCACCACATAATGACAGAGCCGACCTTTAAAATGACATAAAGGGAGGGCAATAAAATGGGGTGGGCGTAACGAAATCACACAAAGACACTTGAATACACACACATACAGAGAGAGAGAGGTAGGGAGAGTAAGAGAGAGAGAGAGAGAGAGGGAGAGAGAGAGAGAGAG